CTCTCTCTCTCTCTCTCTCTCCCGCCTTCCTTTTTGAACTTCCCATCCCCGTACCGGTGACGTCAACCGCCTGCGTCCGCGCGCGAGGTCGACGCCCCCGCAAGGGGAAGAGAGCTTCGATTTCGCCATCTTCCTCCGACGCGCTAACCCTGAGAGAGAAGGTTGCATCGAGTGTTGTATGGAGTCGATGTTGGTTCGGATGACCGGGAGCGCAAGATCTTGCCTGTGTTCATCGCCTACTTCCGATCGTCTCATCTCGCTACCGGCCTTCCCCATCACAGATGACGACAGCGTCTACTGCGATGCGGACGTACGGCGCGCGCTGAGGCGAATGGAGCAAGTGTGTTGGCGAGACCCGCCTCGGGCTTGTGATATAAGGGGGAACGGGTTTGTCTTGATTGATCGTTTTGATTCCCCGACTCTAATATTGCCTTATACGGGTTTGACTGTGTTGCCCTGGTTGGCTGCTCACGCCGCGTGGCGGCCGGAGTTTGATTGTCGCTGGTGTCGCCAGGGGGACTCGTGTTCTTGGCGACAACTGGTCCTGGGTTACGAGGGAGCGACACGTTTCCCCGAGCTTTCCCGTAGTGTGGGGCCGCTGCCCGCGCAATTTCGAAATGGATGCCGGCGAGTCCTCCCGCCGCTTCACCCTCTCGGAAACTTCCGCGCGGACTCTGTGAGTCCGACGCCGAGGCTTGAAGGCCTCGAACCAACCACCTCTACAGCAAAGACCCGATGGTTCGGTCACTTCGTGAGGCCGATGACGAGGCCTGAAGGCTTCGAACCCACCACCTATCCCCCAAACTACTGACGGCCGAAGTTTTGTCTTCCGCCGACGGCAGTTCATTTTCGCGGAAACCCCTCTGATTTTATCGTTTCGGAGTGATCCGACCCCCACGAGACTTGACGACGACAGTTCGACTCCGGGGAAAACCTCTGGCCCGAAACGAGAGCCTCCCGTTCCGTCCGGGAGACTCAACCCTTACGGCCAAAAATCCTCAGCCACGCCCCTGCTAGTACTCTGATCGGCCACCCCGTACGGGACACCGCGATGGGGCGTGAGGTTGCGTATCACACGCTGGACCCGATTTCCAGCAGATTCATTCATATCATTGTACAGGGACACTGGACCCGATTTCCAGCGGGTGTAGCTCCCCACCAATAGATGGAGCCTTCGACGCTGGGACCCACTTACCAGGGATGCTCTTATCACCTCGTTAAGTAGGTTTCCCGTATACGAAGTTTCAAAAAAATAATAATAATAAAAAATAAAGGTTGATCAGTTATGTACCCCAGACCGGCTCAATCTGATGTGAATCAGCCAAGATCGCTCCTTGCACACTGGTCCATGACCACCTGGTCATCCAGTTTGATCGCCCTCAGTCTGCCCTGCACCCGTCGCAGCGTCTCGTTGATGCATACCGTCGATGCACCCTGAGGGAAAATGAACTGGATGGCGTGTCACAAGTATATGTGGTTATGATTCGCCACTGCTTGGGGGGGAAAGAATGCATGGGGATAAATGAAGCCATTTTTCTCTATGTATTTTTTCATGGGCTTGATATGCAGTTTGTGTATGAAGTGTGCCTTCATTAGGCTCAAGGTCCCCAGTGGGGGGCACTCCGGTAGGCAGAGCTCTGTGTCCCCGTGTTCCCTATTGGGGCCTAGGCCAGCCTACGTGGGGGCGGTTCCCCCCGATTCATGTGGGCTTTCCACATGGTGATGCCCTCCGGTAGGTGAGGTTCCATTCTGAGTGGGGGAGGCTCTTGTGGGTGGGGCTATGTGTCCCCGACTCCCCATGTTCCCTGTCGAGATGCGGGCCAGCGGCCGCAGGGGTGGTTCCCATCGCGGGCGGTATGTGGCCCTCAGAGCCGTGTGGATTTTCCATGTGCCGTTGCCCCAGTCGAATCAGGGGTTTCTGATAAGGGCTCTGCAAACCAATGATCCATGGTTGGCCTTCAAACCATCCCTCCCGACCCATGTGAGAAGCAACAGCTTCATCCCCACAACGCCATTGCCCAGGCATTCGATCCTCCATCCATGTTCCTTTGAACTGAATGCGACGATCATACAGAATAGCCCCCTTACAAATATGATGACATGGCTTTCTATTTGGAAGTAGTTTTGGATAAACACACTGATTCTATCTTTTGTGAGTTCGATCACATACATGCAGCGACTGTGCTGGACGGTTGTGTCATTGGGCATAGGCTGTTTTACCTGGCACTGCTGGCAAAGCCACTCGTCGCCTCAATTGAATTTTTAATTGTAACAAAAATTATCATACTCTCAGAAAAAAACTGCCATGGCTGGCAGCTTGTGGCAGTTTGGCTGGTAGAGGATTTAAAAAGGTAGGTTGCAAAATACTCAGAACTGCAAAATGGAGCCCTAAGTGCCCTCCAAGATTGACCCCTTTTTCCTGCAAAAAGGGCTCCAAAGGTGTTCATAATTTATGGGTCACTCTGTATCTCCTTCCCACATATAACGCAACTGTACCCCACCTTCAATATCAGGCGGTTTTTTTTTTTTTTCTTAGCTTCAATATCAAGATCAGATCTGCCAGACTGCAGTTTTGTTGTAGATGACCATGACCAGCAAGTGCCACGCCCTATAGACACCTTTTATAGGGCTGGGTGTGAACGGGTCCCACTCGTATCCACCTGTCCTTTGGAGAGTTGGGATAGGGTGGGGTTGGGATGGGGTGGGATTGGGAGGGGGGAGAGGGGGGTCCTGGAGTCATGTAAAAGTGCTGGGGTAGTTGAGACTGATCTAAATTTAGATCTCGTTCACTGCAATTCACTGCTGCCATTGTATTCTATCCACCAACTGGCCTAGCTCAGTTGGTACACCTGTGAACTGTTTAAATACAGACCTTTTTTTTTTTTTTTTTTTTTAAAGAAAGGCCCTTGTGCAAGGCCTCTATCCTGGTGGTGGTAAGAGAACCACTGGGATTGAGGCTTTGCCTGGTGGGCCGCTCCATCTATTGGTGGGGAGCAACACCTGCTGGAAACC